GAAAAAAGTGCTGGACCTCTGTTCCCGTACGTTCTATGACAAAAAAAGCACTGTATACAGCCATTATCACTTCTTTTGCAAAATGTTATTAGATTAATTTTCAGATCCATACTTCTTGTCGTAACATGCAAACTAAAGTTTGCTGCAAGTTATCTGGTATTATCTGCATACAAATCTACATAAACATTCATACCCCCAATCAACAACCACAAGCATTCTTTATGTATTTATCCATAAGAACATTAAATAACTAAGAATCATGTACTTCCTGTTGAATTTTGAAACACTGCTAAACATTCAATTTATTCTCAAAATTTACTTCCATAATATGTCACCCTTATTATTTTGGAACTTTATAGTCAGATACAATATTCCACAATGCAAGCCTATTCACTTTATGATTTTCTCTGATCAACAAATGTTCAATAATATTTCTTTCTTAGATTAATATCCTGATAAAAAGCAAAACTCTACACTGGTCTGAGACATAAAATTTTGCTTACTCTAACTTTCTGCATCTTTGCAAAATTTTAAGAATTCCTTGCTCTCTTTGATTATATTCACTGCAATCACTTTTTTTTTCTTTGTACACGTTATCTCATATCCGTGGTGCCCATAGCGATGGCCACTGGTTTCAAAACAGAAAGCACAATTGTGATCAAAGTTCTAACTTTTTAACATGTATAGTATGCACTGCATGGAGTAAAAAAGACTGGTGCTTTGATCATCCAATCAAATTTGCAATTAAAAAATAATAATTTATTTTTTCACTTTTGATATTCTGAAAGGCAAGGAAGAAATAAGAATATAATATACAAGAACAGTATATCTCACAATTCAGTTATAATTCTCATATATCACTGTCAAAATTAGTTATTATTAACAAAGCCTACATTTTTCCAGATCTGACAAAAATGTGATTCATCTCTTTCAAATTTAATCTGTGACTTTTTCAAGAAAAGCAATACTTTAGCACAGCAGCTGTCCAATGATAAATCATCTAAGAATTTCTAGTCCAAGTATTGAATTAGTAGCCAAGAGTACAAATAAATTCTTTAATTCATTGGAAAGTATATGATAATCTCAAATATGGAATAGATTATACTTGTTTAGTGACTATTCTGACTTCCTCAAAAACTTTCTTCAAGAAAGATGCAATCTTTTTGCTAGTCTATCATAAATAAATAAAAAAAAATCTGGTCCTTCCAACGCTTTGAGGAGTAATTTGCAGTATTTTAACTGGAGTTAACGGCCAACCAAGGTACCATCTTCACTGCATCGCTTGTTAGTGAGCTAATTGAAGTAACTTGATTTCCATAGTATTTCCTACCCCATCTCATGTATTTATTTTCCTAAATCTGTATGCAGTACTTCTTTTAAACCTACTTGGGGGAGGTGCATGTGTATGTTTATAAATTCCAATAATAACTTACCCATTTTTGAAATTGTTCTTTTAGGTTGGGAACGATAATTATTAATTTTTCCAAACTAAACACTGATCTTTTGACTCTTATATCCTTCTTATTCAAAGAGGATTTAAGCTGGAGCAATGTTAGCCCATAAAGGGAGCAAACTATTTGTAACTAAATCTGTTCTTTGTTACATACTGTCTTACTGTATTATTGTAAAAGTGATTAATGTGTCTCCTCGGCTTCAATTACATTGACCTATCTTAATTACAAGTGCATGTAATCCTCAACTTACAATAGCTCATTTAGTGACTGTTCAAAATTACAATAGCACTGAAAAAGTGACTTATGACCGATTTTCATGCTTACGATCATTGCAGTAACCTGATGATCACATGATCCAAATTCAAATGCGTGGCAACTGATTCATATTTATGACGGTTGCAGTGTCCTGGGTCATGTAATCACCTTCTGTGACCTTCGGACAAGCAAAGCCAATGGGGAGGCCAAATTCACTTAACAACGGTGTTACTAACTTAACAACTGCAATGATTCACTTAACAACTGTGGCAAGAAAGGACATAAACTGGGGCAAAAATCACTTAAAAACTTTCTCACAGCAATAGAAATTTTGGACTTAATTGTGGTCATAGGTTGAAGACTACCTGTATATCCTTTTTGGAATGTATATTATCTATGTTTATAAAAATATTTGCAAGAAAAAAATGGCTTGTGGATCCAGCTACCTCGTGTATGTTTTCCAGTTTTATCTACTGTCCTGCTAGATCTTCCAATATAGAATAGAATAGAGCTGGAAGGGACCTTGGAGGTCTTCTAGTCCAGCCCCCTGCTTAAGCAGGAGATCCTATACCATTTCAGACAAGTGACTGTCTAGTCTCTTCTTAAAAATCTCCAGTGATGGAGCGCCCACAATTTCTGAAGCAAGCTGTTCCACTGGTTGATTTTTCTCACTGTGAGGAAGTTTCTTCTTAATTCCAGGTTGCTTCTCTCTTTGATCAGTTTCCAACCATTGTTTCTTGTCCTGCCCTGTGGTGCTTTGGAGAATAACGTGATCCCCTCTTCTAGTCTCATAAATAAAATAAATAAATTATGCTCATGCTAACTCCCTGAAATATAGGCTCTGTAAGATACAGACTACCTTGCAAGTCAACATACCACTGCCTATATACAGTACCACCAACTACAAAGTATAAGCAGTGTACTCACAAGCAGATATGCATACACACATACAATATCCTATATCTTTAATTCTCAGTTAAATATTGGTACCACAGTTATGATTGTTTCTGTGAAAAATCTAGAGAATGTGATAATGCATACGTTGACATGCATTATCTTCTCATATTGCTATATTTTCTTAAAGATATGGGTTGCCATATCTGGGTTGCATCAATTGGAATAAGCACTGGAGAGCAGCAACACATTTTTATTCTGAATTGCAAATATTGAACTTACAGGGTTGAATTTAATTAAAGAGACAGGATGTGGGTCTCATTCCTAATTCACAGTAGGAGTATAGAGGGTAATGAGCTAAACTCATATAATTTATATAAATTCCCTTTTCTGTGCATCAGATTTTCTACCTGTGTGACTCATAGGTGAACCTGAGTTGAGAACTTTATAGACACCTGAGTGGAATTATTAAAAGTGGAGAAGTCTAGCCTTAGAAATGTATCAGTAGAATTGAGTCAGCAAGGTGTGGTGCTGGAAGTAACAGAGAAAACAGTCATTGGGCAACTCACTAGGTTAGTAGTTTAATTGAAAAACCAAGATGGTGTTATAGCACGTTCATGCTTGCAATGCTCAAACTTGCTAATGTTAATAATATTTTTGAATCCATTCATGTGGTATAACTTGTCTTAGCAGCAGTTCTTCTAAAGTATTAAGCACAGGACTAAGCTAATGCTGCCCTGGATTAGTAGAATTTTGGATGAACGGTAGATGGAGCGCTTTAAACAGGACAAATAATTTATTTAATTCTTTGATTTTGTATGCTAACAAAACAAATGACTCTATTCACATATTTGGACAAATACAAATTAGATTAGCAAAGCTTTTTTGAAATATGAGGAAATATGCCTTCTACTAAAGCACCATAAGCAAGCTGAGAGCCCTTTTCCATTAGCATTACATTGCCTTCTACTCATTCTAGAATCAGCAGAACACTGTACTTGCATGAAATAAATGTATGTATGTATGTATGTATGTTTGTATGTATGTCTTTTAAGCTTTTGTACAGTTTTTATTTTTTTAAGATTGTTAAGTCACCCAGAGTTACTCTGTGGCAAGATGGGTGGTCAATAAATTTTACAAACAAATAAATATATTTGTTATCTTTGTAGCTGAATCCCTATCCTGGCTCAACTGCCCATGTTTCAAATCACTGCAATTATCTGATTTCCCGCCAACTAACCAAACATAATAAATTTCACATAATTTGAGATTACCCATAGAAATGTCAAAGTAAAGGAATAAATACTATTTTAACACAATATAGCCAAGAATGATGGAGATCTGACCCTTCCAGTGGGTCAGCTGAACTTTGACCTACCAATATTTCAGCCAACAGAAAACCATACAAGCATAAAATATGCTATCGATGCTATCCTGCCAAGAATGCCATCAAATAATGGAGTCTTCATTTACTAGGAAGAGGGCAGGTTAAGTAAAGAGATTGTGGAGTCCCCCAATATTGTTCCCCTCCTCCAAACCACCAAGTAACTATCATAACCTAACATCATAAAATATTGATCTGTTGTTCTTAAGTGGGCTAGGATTGAGAAACACATGAATTTTGACAAATGATGAGATCAATACCTTACAAGGCTGTCCGCTATCTCCACTGCTTTTTATCTTATCATTAGAGATTTTACTTAGAACAATTCAAGAAGACAAACAAATTAAAGGTTTAAAAGTAAGAAAAGAAACTTTTAAGGTACAGGCATTTGCGGACGACCTTATATTTATTATTTAAGAGCCTGTACAATCTGGTCTTATGCTGATGGAAGTGCTGGAGGACTATGGAGAAGTAGCAGGCCTGAAAATAAATAAGGATAAAACAAAAATGATAGTTAAAAATATGACTGAAGAGCAAAAAAAAAAAAAAAGAATTGGAGGAAAGGATAAATATGCAGACTACGAAAAAAATAAGATATTTGGGAATCCAAATGACAGCGAGATGCATCACTCTGAAAGAAGACAATTATGATAAATTAATGGTGCAAATTAGGTCTGATTTGGGAAATTGGGGGAAACTACAGTTATCTTTAATGGGTAGGATAGCCACCACTAAAATGAATGTTCTTCCGAAAATGTTGTTTTTATTTCAATGCATACCAATTCGGCTTAAAAAGGATTTTTTTACAAATTTGGATAGACTCATTTCAAAATTCATATGGCGAGGGAAACGACTGAGAATTAGATTAAAACTGTTACAAGACGCTAGAGAAAGAGGAGGACTTGGCCTACCAGACTGGACAAAGTATTATCAGGCAGCGGTGTTGGTCTGGCTAAGTGAGTAGATGCATCTCAAAAATACAAGATTATTAGTACTAGAAGGTCATGACTTACAGACAGGGTGGCATGCTACTTTGTGGGAAGAAAGACATCTAGTCCAGCAATACTTCCGGAAGCATTATATTAGGAGAGCATTATTGGATATCTGGAAAAAAATAAAAAGAAATAATTATATGAAAATCCCCAACTGGGTATCTACATTAGACATGTACACACATACAAATTTGATAAAATGTGGGGGTGCTGTCACCTATAAAGATATTTTGAATGAGAAAGGAGAATTAAAAGCGAGAAATACCTTAAAGGAAGAAGGAATTGATCTGGAATGGTGGACTTATCTTCAAATCCAATCCAAATTTAATAAAGACAAAAAGGAACGGGGCATAAAGCAAGACTCTTCAGAATTAGATAAAATCTTATTTAGTAGGGAAGGCAAGACTATAAGTAAACTGTATCGATATTTATTAGAGCAAGATATGATTGATGAACAGGTGAAAAAAATGATGATAATTTGGTGTAAATATTTTGGGCACAATATTGATTTGGATAATTGGCAAAGTTTATGGGAAAAAAACCCTAAAAATTACTTTAGTAACCTCCTATAAGGAAAACCTCTATAAGATGTTTTATAGGTGGCACCTCCCTCCCACAAGATTAGCACGAATGAACAAGGGGAAATCCTCGATATGCTAGAAGTGTGGAGAGACCGTTGGGAATTACTACCACATGTGGTGGCAATACCCAAAGGCACCAAACTTTTGGAACTTATTAAAGAAATGGCTGGAAGAAATTTTGCTAATAGATATAGAGGCCAAACCAGAATTTTTTTTATTGGGAATTATAGAAAGAAAATATAAGAAAGATACAAATTATTTACTACAGCATATAGTAACAGCGGCACAAATAGCCTTCACTCAAAAATGGAAAGAGAAAGATACTCCAACCGAAGAGGAAATATTACTGAAAATTTTCAATTGCGCTGAAATGGATAGACTTACATGGGAACTCAAGGATAAAAGTGAAACTAAGTACTATAAAATCTGGGAATAATTTTATGATTGGATAGACAATAAGAGGGTAGCCAAGACAAATGTATAGTGTTAGAATAAAATATAGATTATAGACAAATGTATATTTAAAAGATAAATAGATATACAGAAATAAGGGAAAAAGTGTTAATATTATATTATAAATAGTGAGCAAAGCTCAAGAACTTTATGTCTATATGAGTACTAATACTACTGTAAAATGTCAGAAGATATATGGAACCAGTGACGTCATATCTATGTCCAATGTGTTTTTAATTTTGTATTATTAATAAAAAGTTATTAAAAAAATGAGATCAATACCTTCTGTCAGTATTCACTGCAGGCTTTGCACAAGCTAAGGGCTTTGGGATCATAGGAGCTAGAAGAGGTAGCAAGGGAAGTGAAGAGCTGACCACTGGCTTACAAGCACATGTCAGGAAAACCCCAAAACACTGAGAGTTCAGAGTGCTATGTGGTCAAATAAGAGAGACCCTGTCTCACAACATGTCCCGACCTCCAGCACTTGTCAATTATTTTTCAGGCTCCTTTAGAAAATCCATATTTGCCACTTTATCAGATGAATGCTAAAAGTCACCCATCTTTAAAAGTAGGCCAGCTAACAGCTGATAGGCAGGGAGATGGTTGTTTGGTACAGTAGTAGAACCTCCTGCCACTTCACTTTACACTCCTCTCCCAATCCTGATTTTGTCTGGTTAAGAAGAAAATACTACTTTATAGCTGGCACGGCTAAGGACAATTTGAAAATGCTTGAGATATGGGGTTAGAATAAGGATGAAAACAATGTCATGAGGTATGATAGGAAAAAAAGTGCTGATCGTGTTTGTACAATGGTTAGGAACAAGCTGAGAAGTGTCTTTCACAATAAGACCAAGCACAATCATTTCAAAGTGGAATGAAATAGAATAACATAGAATAAAAATGAATAAAGTATAATAATAATGATGATAATGAAAAAAATCACTAAAAGCAAAATGATGTGTCTGCATAATTCCTGGAAGAAAGCTGTGTTAGCAAAAAAGCTGTGTTAACTGACCTAATGCATATTTAGAAACATTGTATAAGTAAAACTTCCATCACTGTCTTCCCATGAGAAATGAACCTAACATGTGAGAAACTAACTGAATGATATACAATGTAGATTCCATATACAATGTAAGATTCCATGAATACTCCCTTTGTTCCTTAGAAAGGGAGAGCTATAAAGATTGTAGTTTGGAGCCGCCCCCTTGTTCAGAATTGCCTAACTCTTAATTGCTTCTGAACCTTTGCGCAAAAATAAACCTCTCTGTTTCACCCTTTGGAATTCGTAAAAGTCCTTTTACTTTTTCCACAAGAATTTAATATAATGTAGGGAAATTCTTCAAGTGTTTATAAATGGACTAGTCAGGAACGTTTCAAACAGCTCTTATAAGTTCACAAACCAATAATCTTAGCACTGATTCAGAGACTACAAAGACTCTAGGAAACTGCAAAACTCACATATTGTAATTGTTACTGGTTCCTTCAGAACAGCCCTCAAGAATTCAAATACTGGTAGATAAATCAGCAGCTATATACTCACTATACAAAAACAGAGCAGAAACAGTCCCCAAAGAAAAGCGATTATAGTATCCAAGAAATTACAACTATATTATAGAATAGCATATAGTATTTAATATAGTATATTCAAATAATATTAATATAGTATCAAGGATATTATTTTACATATAAAATAAAAATTCCCCTAAAAGGATGACTGTCTTCTATAGCAGGAGTCTGCAACCCCCAGGCCACGGTTGATTATCAGGCCATGGCCCATTCGGAACCAGGCGCACAACCGGCGGGCGAGTACTCGCACACAGCTCCACTTGTGTGAGCAGGAACTCGCATGTGAAGCTCCATTTGCATGGACAGCAGGTGCTTGTGTAAATGGAGCGGCTCACACTCACATGCATGCCTGCCGCTCACACAGAACCATTCCCTCTCTCCCCTCCAGGCCACCAAGCTGGAAAGGTTGTGGACCACTGTTCTATATAGGATGCTTTTCAAAAGCAAGGAGGATTTAATACCATTGTTACAATGTAGGCCAGTGCCGATTCCTCAACACCACTGGTTTTGGATTAGCTGAATGTTGAATTCGCAATGGTTTCAAAATTAGAACATGCTCCTCTAAAGCATAGTAGGCGATGCTAAGACGTAAGAATTCTCAGTATAATTTACTACTGTACAGGATTTTTTTAAAAAAAAAATAATAACAAAGATACAACTTGTGTAACTAATGTAAAGTGAAAAATTCATAGAGATGTTAATAATTATAATGAAATTCATGCTGCTTTATTCTCAAATAGCTGTTCTGAGTAAAAGGACTAATTTCACTTACTGGGGGAATCTGTAGTATCTTAGATCTTGCTGAACTACAGCATGCTTTTAAACTGTTCTAGCCTTTATGGCCAGGGAGGAGCCACCAATTCTGCATATTATCTCTGTGTTGTGGTAACAACGATTGTATTTTAATCACAGAGAAGTTACTACAGTACTTGGATATGTTGTTCAAGCTCCCTAAAAAAATATGGGCAATGAATCATTCCATGGGAAAGAAATTGGAAGAAATGCTTAGGAAAATATTAAAGAGCACAACCATTTTTACAAATAATGAGACAACATACGTAAAAGATCTATATTGTACAGTTTTCCTTATAACTAATTATCTGGTTATATCACAGAACCTACAGTATGGTTACTTGCCATAGTTAATGTACAGATTTTTTAAGTTATTTGATCAAGTTCTTAATTACACTGGAAATCAAGCATTAGAATGCATATAATTGAACATCAGCTATTTGTATTTTTATAGATGTGGACATTAATTTAGATGTCTAAATTCCACTAAAAACATCTTTGTAATCACCAAACAGCTGCTCAATGCAAACTCTTTAAATGATGGTTTTGCAAAAGATCATCTTTTCTCTGCAATACCTCCAGATATTCCACTTGTTCAGACAAACAGGCACCAACATGTATTGCACAACAGAGACTTGAAATAGGCAAAAGAGCAAATCTTACAAAGCAAAACAAGGAAAAGGAATTCTCCCACATGGAAGAAGTTATTGTGCTATTCCTATCAATCAAAAGATGAAATAGAAAGAAAAGAATTTGCTAAGGTGTTTATTTAAAATATTTTTATTTTATTTTATTTTACTCATTCTCACACTCACACGTTCTTTAATATTGGAAACCTGTTCGTTATAAACCTATTTATTACACTGATCAGAAGCAACGGTACCTCTTATGAAAGAGATTCTAATTCTTAATTTAAAATATAGCATTTTCTTAGATTTCTGTTTTGTTTTGCTTTTTGCATTTTTGGGAGAGGGAGAATTAAACAAGAATTCTAAAAAAACTCAGTCTTGGCATGTTATATTATTTTTCTTTATCTGTCTTTCACCTGTTTCTAGAATCTATACTATGTGTGCTTGAAATAGCTTTCTGATCTCAGTATGCATGAAGGGCATTTGTTAAGGAAAGAGGATTAAGGAAAGGAGCTAAAATTAATGAGAGACTGCTTCTCCTTCTGTAAGCCCTCAAATGATCATTCTGCACTCCTTTTCTGATCCTGGTCCTCATTTCCTATGCTGCTATACTACATTGGGGAGGGGGAACAAATTGGGGGCTGCAGCTGTTTTACAAAATAGAATTAAGTCTTCTTCTTCATCTTGCTTCCTGCCATCTCATATTAGTTAAAGAGTACTACATTCAACAACCAAAATATTTCTTGGTCATTCCTGCAATACAAAATCCTTATGTATTTCTCCTGAATTCCTACATTACAAAAGCAATGATATTTAAAAGTTTTTTTTGTACATTGTAGATTCATCCAGTTGAAGTGAATAAAATCAATTGACTTGTATTCTCCCTAGTAGCAGGTCATAATTAGTGGATTATCTTGACAATTTGGTATTGTATTGTTATTTGACAATGAAATCTTGTTTGCAATTTCCTACTGGTTGCTAATGGTGTCAGCTCCTCATCTCTGTGTGGCTTCCTTTGTTTCCCATTGAGCTACTCACTAAGAAATTACAGTATCACAGGACCCAACTATTTTAAACAATCCAACTTT